AAGGGCTTCTATGCTGTGGATTTTCTGTGCAGGGCCTGTCTTACTTGGTAACATTCTGTTGGGATAAATTAAAGCACTCTTCCCATCACTGGCTAGCCCTTGCTTCTGTAAGATAAAGGAGAAAACTTTGAAATTTGGGGTATGGCGCAGAGAACTTTAACATGACCACTGCAATCATCTTCCATGAGTATCAGGTGCTGCTTCACTTTCCTGGCTGAAGCCTTGTCATTTCTGTCCTCCTAGGAACGGGCAGCAATGTGTGCTACATGGAGGACATGAAAAACATAGAAATAGTGGAAGGGAACGAAGGAAAAATGTGCATTAATACAGAGTGGGGAGCGTTTGGTGACAACGGCTGCATTGACAACATCAGGACAAAATATGATAAAGAAGTAGATGAAGGCTCACTAAACCCAGGGAAACAGAGGTAAATGTGATGGTCCTGATGCCAAGAGCCTGGTGAAGTCAGTCTTCAAGAGACACTGGCTGGTTTTTAGAACACGCTTAATGAATGAATAATCAAAAAGGAAATGTTAATATTGCATGTCTTGTGCCGCGTGGTAAGTAACCTAAATATCCAGAAAAAACCAAAGAAGTACCTTGTTTCTGTTATCACAGCACTGTTCTCATCTTAGGGCAGTTACCAAACAGTGCAGCTTTTAAGATTTCCCTGCAAAGTCTAGGTCATGCTTTGTTCCTTCCCTTAGGGTGATTTTTCAAAGGTAAAATACAACTCAAGCAAGAGGATAAGCTGAACTTGACTGTTTGTTCAGTAAAGACATTATTGATCAGGTGTGACTCACTGGGGAATGCGTGGGGAGACAGGGAAGTGTTTCACCTCAGTGTGGACTCTGCCTTTAACACTGTGTTCTTTTTATTATTGCAAGGGATTTTTTCTATTTCTGTTACCATTTGGCTTAGGTAAATATATTATAATTAGTGTTTGCACTTGAAGTCACTGCAACAGAGTTTTGCTGATTGAAAGATGGATTTCAATGGCTATTGCTCTGCAAACTTGGGCTGCTTTTTTGGGAGTTCATAGGGCATGTACCTACCACTCATGCTGAACAAAGCTAACATGCCATCTCTTTAAATGCACCTTTTTTTTTATCTTTTATAACTTGACAGGTATGAAAAAATGACCAGTGGAATGTACCTAGGTGAAATAGTAAGGCAAATTTTGATTGACTTAACCAAACAAGGGCTGCTGTTCAGAGGACACATTTCGGAGTCACTCATGAAGAGAGGCATATTTGAAACAAAGTTCCTGTCTCAGATTGAGAGGTGAAGTTGTTACATTTACATGGTTTAAATCCTTAGGGCCTTTTGGGACCCCTAGAAAACAAGTGTGTGGAGCCCTTTCCTTCAAGAAGTTAATTACCATTTTCTTCTTTGCATGCCTCCCTCCTTCCCATCCCCACAATAAAAGCCAAAAATGAAGAACTGAGGGAGTTCCAGAATTTTTCTGTGATTACATGAATTATCATTTCCCATTCACACAGCTGGGTTACCTTGGGTGCCTTAACCACCACGTGTGATTATATACTTGGAGTGTTTCTTGTGGGACTTAAAACATTAGTTATCAAAGAAAGTAAAAAGTCAGTGATAGATGAACACATGCTTGCCTACATATCTGTGCATGTTTGCAGTGGTCTTCAGGCCATTTGAAACCCTTTCTGCTGTGGAAAGCCTTCAAAGTAGTGTCTCAGCCTTGAGATCAAACATAACGGGTGGATGGCTGATCTGGCTCAGCTCCCTCATGACTTTGGGAGTTAGATGCATTACTGTGTGTGCCTCCTGGAAATACAGTCTGACATGGCAGAGGGCATGGCAGGAGCAGTTTTCAGTCTGAATTGAGGCTTTCCCTAATGGCTTGCTGCTCCGTGTGCTTCCCTCTGCGCAGTGACCAGCTCGCCCTCCTCCAGGTGCGGCGGATCCTGCAGCAGCTGGGCCTGGACAGCACGTGTGAGGACAGCATCATCGTGAAGGAGGTGTGTGGAGTTGTGTCACAAAGAGCTGCCCAGCTCTGTGGGGCAGGGCTGGCTGCCATTGTGGAGAAGAAGAGGGAGAACCGAGGTGTGGAGCGCTTGCAAATCACCGTTGGAGTAGACGGGACTTTGTACAAGCTCCATCCACAGTGAGTGCCTTGGTACCACTGCCCTTTGCTGTTTGCTCATTTTCATGTGGAAACACCCCCAGCTGTACCAGCTTTCTACTGAGATGATTAAAAAGTGTGAGAGGGGATCATCCTACACGTTTCCCTGCATCTTGTCCTTTCCCTTGCCTTAGTTAAAGGATCAAAAATTGCAAAGTCAAGTCCAGTTACCACTGGGAGGCTCTTTTCTCCAGGGTGTTGACTGAACTGACTCTTCTGATATTTATTTACCAGTGTTTGAGTGGATTTGAGAACAGAAAGCAGCTGTTAAAATGCTCTGTTCTTCTCTCCCTTTCCTTTCAGTTTTTCCAGAGTCCTGCAGGAAACAGTGAAGGAGCTGGCACCTCAGTGTGATGTGACCTTCATGCTCTCTGAAGATGGCAGTGGGAAGGGAGCTGCCCTCATCACTGCAGTGGCAAAACGGTTGCATAATGTTGGGCAGAAGTAGAAATGAGTGGTCGAGTCATTCCAGCGCTGTCAGGCGTGTGCACAGGGATCTGCTGAGGGGTGATTCCAGACAGCTGTGCCAGGCACCAGCACACAGGTACCCGTTTTCAGGGAGCAGCTGCTTTTGACCGACCAGGACTGTGGATTTTTGTCCTTTGCTAGCTTGGATCAGGTGTTTCTACTCCCCACTGCTATTATTCTTGGCACACCACAGTCTCCTGGGTTCTGTAATTCCTGCAGTGCATCTGTAATGCACATGGGAGAAAATAAACAAATGCAATCCACCCCAAATGTGTCTTTTACAATGTCTTAATTAAGCTACTGCACCACAACTGGGTTTATCACCAGTTTCTTAGGATTTGTGTGCTTTAGTTTTGGCTTGGCCTGGCTCAAGGAATGTTGAGATCCTGATGTTGCATCTATCTAGTGGACATGTTTGTTCAACGCTTCACAGGTTTTAAATAAAATTGAAGGTAAAATAAATCAATGGAGTTTGGTCAGTGATGCTCCCCCTGCCACTACTCTGGTTGCAAGTGTGTTGTAATGTAATACTTCCTGAGTACAGGGCATGTTTAATAGATTAATGTAAAGATAAAAATATGATTCCACAGAATATCAGTTTGTGTCAAAATATGTTAGTGCATTTGAGTGCACATAAAGCTAAACTAGTGCTGGGTGGATTTTGACTGTGACTGACTCTTTTGATACTGGAGGAAAGAGAATGTAGAAACAAGCAGCTACAGAGTCTGCTATGTCTACGTCAAGGTACGTAGAGAGTATCAAACAGGCCACCAAAATACCTGTGTAGAGAGAAACAAAAATCACCTGAATTTCTGAAATTCTTCTCTTTATTCTCCCTCTGTTATCTCCTTGCCTGTTCCTGAGAGAATTGTTTCCATTGTGTGGAAAGGAGTTTATCCCTGGTTTTCATTTTCTGTTGCCTCCTGCTCAGCCTGTGTGTAGCCTGTTTGTAAATAAATGTGGGGTGCCGTGAGCCTCTCTGTCTAATGCCTCTTCTGAGTTGTGGGAAGAACATGCAGGCAAGTGGGAGCTTTCTTAGAATATAAATCTTTAAACCTAAACCTTTCTTTAAACCTAAATGTCTAACAGTGCTCAGCAGCACTACAGTTATTCTGAAGGTGGTTGGTGGATAGAGCCCATGGCCTCGTGTGACCAAATGTCCTTCACCTGATTTACCCAGAACAAGCCAAAGCAATCATATGACACAGAGAGGCAGCAAATCTGCATCCTGCCTAGCTCCTGTTCTCAAGTATTCCTCTATCTCCCTTAATCCTCTCTTCTTGGATATTTGCTTCCTTCCAGGCTGGCAGCAGAAAGTGGGGCCAAGAAATGTGCTTTAAGCCTAGTTAGGTCAAAAGTAACCATCGTGCAGGGGGGGATCAGCAGTTGGGTTTATGTAATAATCTGTAACCAGGCTGCTGCTGGGTTTAAATTTAGCAATCACAGATTCAAAATCAGAAGCTACAGACCCTTCCTGTTTTGTAGTTTTTCAAAAAAACCCCAACATCTCAGCAGCTGTGTCTGTGTTGGAGTTACTGGATGGGTGAAAAATGATACTTGGAAATAGTTTTCACTTCTGAAGGTGTGGTGCTGAGCTCACTGTACTAAGCAGTTGGGAAGAGGCAAGTTGTGAACTCATTACATTTAATGTTTTTCTCCTTTTGTCAAGAACCTTAGTGTTTTACTTTTTGTTTATATTATAGAATCCACAGAGCCCCAGGAACCAAAGCTTCCTGTGTAGTAAGGGCAGTTATTTGGAATGGAAGTTTGTTCCTGGTGGTGAACAGGTTAAATTTGGAGGGGCTGGGTATAGAAGCAAAAAAAATCAGGTATAGAGGCAATGTGGGGCCTAGAACAGCTCTTCTGCATTGACTGTTTCTCCCTTCAGCACCTGAAATCTTGTACTATCTGGGTGGGTTTGGACCCTTTTGGGGGAGTGAATTGTTCTAATCTGCAAAAGTGCATCTGTGGACATTGATCCCTCTTTATCTGGAAGGAGGGGTTGCAGACTTGCCCCAGAATAGCCACGTGAGTATGGTGCAAGAGTTCCTTTTGTACTTTTATTCCAAAGCCTGTTCTACACAACTGGAATGCAAACCAGTAACAAAAGAAGGCAAACCCCTCACATTTAGAAAGGAGTCCTGTATTGCTTTGATTTTTCTTTTTAATCTCTTTGGGAAAGGAAATATTCTCACGGGGCAGTTTACACCTCAGCTGCAGCTGTTCCTTTCCTGCAGTAGATTCAGCCCACACAATAATAATTTTTTGCATGTGCAGTGTTTTGGGTTTTTTTTTCAGTGGGTCTGTGGGTGTTGTGGAATCTGCTCACATGAACCTGGAATTGCTCACAGTGCTCAGTGCCCAGCAGCTCTCCTGAGGTCCCCCAGGCCCAGGACACGAATGCTCCTGCTGTTCCTGCAGGCAGCTGACTTGCTCTGGAGTCAGGCAGCTCCCACACGTCTGCTGGGCAGGGACACAGCACCTGAGCTGGGGAGGCAGCTGCTTTTGGAAAGGGAAACGACCAAAGGTTGGCTGGGCAGCCCTGGAGAAGGGCAGGATTGGCTCCTGTGAGATTTTACCAGGGATACAAACTTCACTCCCAGTTTCCCAGGGATCCCACAGACACACCGATGCTTTGGCTGTCCCTAAACCAGAACATTCTCCGACTGGATAACGAGGCAGCATCATGTTCCTGATTCTGTCTCCATGTGGAAACTCAGACTGCTGCAAACTTGCCACCTCCCTTGTGTAGATGTTAAACTGCTGAAGCAAAACCCTTCTCTGCACATCATATGTGGTGATTCAGTTTAAAGCTCTTGCTTAAAATAAAAGTAGAGGCCTTCTATTAAATCAGCCTATCACACGCTGAAAAATGTGGTGCAATTTATCACATGACATTGTTAGTCAATTTAAAATAAAATGAGATTCTTTTTTTTTCTGCTTTTTCTTTTCTACTGCTTTTTGGATAGCTTTTGATGCTTCATTTCTGCCTGTTTTCCCTCCAGTCAATACATTTAATGCTCAGATTTATTGATTTTGTTTTGATGCTTCTTTAAGACACGAACATCTTTTTTTCAGATATAGATCATGCTTTTGATTTGGAAAGTTGAAAGATATCTTTGAATCACAGGTGTGACAGAAGTATTACTGGGTGGAGGAACTAAGGTTTGTGCTTTTCAGAAGCTCCTAGCAGATGGTTGCAGTTACCCTTTCATCTGTGGGGAAAAGAGGGTCATAAAAATGTTGGTTTGCCTGCTAGAGACACATTTGGGTGGCTTTAGATTTGGACAGTGCTGGTGCTTGACTTGTAACCCAGAGAAAATGCAGTAGCAGCTTGGTAGTGACATGTTCCTGTTTTCACTCTGACAAAGTTCAAAAGTAAGTGTGGGATCATGTGTAAATCCTTCAGAAATCCTGATTAGCGTGATCTCCTTTCTTGGGCAGTCAATATTATATAGGATTAGCAGATTAGTGTAAAGGAGTTTGAGCCTGAAATGTAGGTAATACCAAAATGAAAGTATTGCTTCTTTGATCTCTCTTGATTTGTTTCTTTGCATTTGGTGAAATGAGCTGGCTTTGGTTTGGGGGTCCCAGATGCAAGGTCACCAAGGAACAGGTGGAGAGGGAGTGAGGCAGGGACAGGAGGAGACTTTGTAAATGTTGTCCTGCTCCAGGTAAGCTTCCAGTTTCTTTAGAAAGGAATTCCACTGCCTTGAACTGTCACTGGGGGCTTATCCAGAGCATTTCTCAGGCTTGTCAAGTCTAGCTTGTCAAGTGATATTGATATCTCTCTCTCTCTCTCTCTCTCTCTCTCTATATATATATATATATAAATATAAATATATATCTCTCTCATATATATATATGATATATATATATATTATATATATATATCTATATATCTATATCATCCTTGCAGGCTGTGTCCGCTCCCAAGAGCTAAAAAAAGGCTGTTCTGTGTTGCCACAGGGAGTCAGAGCAGGGAAAGGTGGAGGGGGTGAGACTCTGGGGCTGAGTTTAGCACAGGCATTCCCCTCAGTGCAAGGGATATATATATATATATATATATGTAAAAAATAATCATAATAAAAAAACCTATTCCTGTACATGAGTATGGGTGGCCTGTTGGGGCGGGAGTGGGAAGGGAAATAAGGTAGATATCTGCTTTGTCCAAGCACTGCATCCACTCTATAAAGCTGATGTGTAAGGCAAGATAGAAAACCACCAAAAGTTTAATTAATGTTTTCCTTTCATTGATACTATCACCTTGCAGGTGCACACTGAAGGTTCTGTAAACGTGATGGGTCATGTCTGTCTGAGAGGGGAATGCCGAAATAATTTGGATCTTGTTGTGTGCTTTTTTTAATGCCCTTCCCTCCCCAGCCTTACCCTTGTCTGCACTCTGTGTCCCAGGGCCTCGTGCAGCCCCAGCACCCCCAGAGTTAGTAAAAGCTGTGTTCTGTGGAGAGAGAACAGATAGAAACCCGGGAAACATGGGTTCCTCCAGAAAACTCCCCACTGGCACAAGGAATTGGCTACAGGAAAATGGACAGAGGGCTCCATGTGGGAGGATTCCTGTGCACAAGTTGAAGAACAAAATGCTGGGGAATCTCAGCAAGCAGGAGCTTGCTGGAAGGAGTGGAAGAAGGTCCTTGCACCCTTGATCTTTCCTGACTGGTTATATAAAAAAAAAAACAACCAAACTCAAAACAACCCAACCCCCCCAAGAATCCCAAATTCTTATTTTTATCTAGAAAAACCTGAGTTAAAACCAGGTGAAAACCAAAGTGATAAAAAAAAAAAAAGAGAGGTAAGAGGAGACTGAGTCTGTTTCACTACCACTATATTTTATTTTCTTTCTTTTGTTGGGAGGGATAAAGGCTGTTTGGAGAAGAGGGGAGAGATGTGTGAAGAGTCAACAGTGAAAGCTTCTCCATAAATTCATTACTGCATATCAGAACAACTATAAGGTCAGTCTTAACAGTGGAGAAAAGGGTTGACAGCAATGCCAGGTGTGATACCTTAGGAGCCATTAATTACAAGGACTCTTCAAGGATGTTCACTGAGTTAACTGCTGCATTTTTGTTATTGTTCTTTGGGCCGGACAGAACGGGAGGGAGGCAATGGGGTTGCAACCTTATTGGTATCTGTTTTCTTTGGACTTGGAGGTGAGAGGTAGCTCCCAGCCCCAGGCATTGCAGAATGCTGGGGTTCTGTTCTCAAACCCACTGGTGTTATCGATTCAATTTGCTTTGCTGAGGTCTGTTTTTGTTGCTCTCAGTTTGCTGCTTGGATGTCCAGCTTGCCAAAGGTTTCTGCCCCTGGGAAGCCCCTGTTCCTGTAGGGCTGCCTTGGCCATCTGTGTAGCTGTGGGACTGGGACTGCTGCCTGCCAGGCTACTGCAGAGGACTGTCCTCATCCTTGTCCTCATCCTTGTCCTCATCCTTGCAGGCTGTGTCCGCTCCCAGGAGCTAAAAAAAGGCTGTTCTGTGTTGCCACAGGGAGTCAGAGCAGGGAAAGGTGGAGGGGGTGAGACTCTGGGGCTGAGTTTAGCACAGGCATTCCCCTCAGTGCAAGGGAAGGCACCTTCTGGGATGAGCTGAGGTCCTGGGGCAGCAGCCGTCCCTGGAATCACAAATAAAGCATGAAAGGTGGGAATTGGGATGTAAGTGGTTAATGGAGCTGACTGGCTGGTGATGGACAACTTGGTCGTGGAGGGGAGCTCTCTGCAGGAGGAGAAAATGGAGGGAAGGTCTGTGAGGGTCTGAGCAGGTAAACGGGGAAGGTGCTTTCCCGGCAGGCACGTCCTGAACACTTCAAAGCGGAAAGTTACGGACGCTGATTTGGGAGCAACAGCTGATTCTGGAAACAAATGCGATAAATACTGGCATGAGAGAAAAAAAAAAACCAACAAAACAAAAAACAAATTGAAATGCCCGAAGGGCACATCTGCTGCGGCCAGCGATTCTGCAGGAAATGCTCTGAAACCAGGGAGAGGCGAGGAAAGTGGACATAAACACGACTCCCAGTGAAGCCAAATGAAAGCCATGGGCCTGGCAAGTGCCTGTTGTAGCGTGCTGAGAGTTTGGCTCTCTTTCCTTGGCTCTCCAGTGAAGTAGCTGTGTCTGACGTGGGCCCCAGGCCGGCTGTGCTGAATGAATTGGGAAGGGGTTTTGCGTTCTGAACTCGGAAACTCTACTCTAGAGCCTTTTCTGTTGCTTTCAAGTGTGTGTTTTCAGAGCAATATCCAAAGGGTTTTCAGAGCTGTAGGTCTAAAGCCCAGTCTGTTAGTCTGAAATTTGAATAATTGCATGGTCATTAAATTTTGCACAAAAAGGAATTGACTCTAAAAGCAGCTGATATGTTATCACGATTAGAGCAATAGCAATGACTTCTTTCATCACAATGAAGTTACATTGTTAGAGAGCATAATTGACATTTTTTTATTGAAAGATTAAGAAGAATTTGTTTACAGCTCGGAAACAAAGAGGTTTTAATTCAACAAACTGCAGCAGGAATAAGCAGTAAGTGGCATTTTCATCTGCTGGCCGGCGAGAGCTTTAGCTGCAGAATGCTGTGGATAGAGAAATATGAAGGAATTTGCAGCTCAATATCTGCCCAGTAAAGCGTGTACCACGCTGGCAAATGCCAGAAAGCTGACAGGGAGAAACCTTGAGTGCAAAGAAACAAAGGGCTATAGTTAATATTAGCACCTTTTGGGAAGACACCACGGGTTTTGGAGACCAGCTTCATGCCGCCTGTTGTGCAGAGGTCAAGGTGTGGCATTTCTGAGGATGCTTTTGCCACGGAGCCCTCGGGATAACACCTGTCTACTCGACTGGGTGCTAAAGTAGGTATCTGGGTTATTTTTGTTTCTCTGGGTTTATTGCTTCATGGTCTAATAGGCTCAGGAGCTAAGTGGTACTGGCATTTCAAAGTGGCATGTTGTGATTGGAAGGGGGTGCTGTGGAAGTGTTTGGAAAGCAGATCCAAATGAAGCACCATTGTCACCCGACTGCAAAGAGGCTCTTTTGCTCTTCAAATATATTTGGGATCCTGTTTGTGCTGGTGGTTGTGTCTTATTGTCCAGACTGCTCTCCAGATAAAGCCAAGGGTATGTGAAAAATTCAGTTTTATTTTTAAGCAAATTCCTCTTTTGAAGTTGGAAATTGTTTGGATTTGTTGTCCCAGCTCTGGTCAAAGTTTAAGGAGCCCGAGTGAAACCCTGCTGTTCTGAATATGCAGTGCTGCAGAGAGAGGAAGAAATCCCTTCAGGGCACTTCGGGTGCTGACAAAGCTCTGCAAGGAGGGTGCTCATCCCACCACCCAGGGAAGCATCTGTTGAACCACGTGCAATGACACTGCTGTGAGGGGAGGGAAGGAGGTGACCAGGCTGATACTGAAAATCATGAGAGCTCACCTGTGCCATCCCTGCAGCTTTATGCTGCGACCTGAGTCCATAGCATCTGATACTGAGGGCAGGTGATAAAACAGCTGAGGGCATTTTCTGGGTCTCGAATGTTGACTGATTGCCACGGGCTGTTGTTGCAGTAACGTGTCCAAAACATGGTTAGATAGATAGATAGATAGATAGATAAATGGTGTGATTAGAACATTTGTTTGTGTCAATGTCAAATGTCAGAGTAGAAACACCCGTAACCCTGCTGGGAGTGGGAGCACGGCTCTGTCCATGATGGGCCTGGTCCCAGACGGGGCTGGTGAGCTCAGCAGCTGTCAAAGGGCCAGCAGGGGATGAGTCATAGTGGCCACAGATATCAGGGCCCTTGTGAGGATACTTTTGCTTTCCTAAAAATGGTATCTTCTTCAGGGAAGAAAGGGAAGGACAAACAGGATGGGGTTATCTGTTGCTGCAGTGAGTTCTGGGGACCATTGCTGAGATCTGGGGCCAGAGCTGCCGACCAGGAAGCCCAGAGGGCTGGGTTCCCTATAAAGCACTGGGATGACAAGAAAAACTTCTTTTTAAAATATTTTTTAAAAAAGTCTCCATCACCATCTTTTGTAGCTATGCTGTGAAGCCAGACCCTCAGGTTTCCTATCAGGAATGTATCAGAGGGATGGAGAAACCTGCTTAAATAAAACAAGAACTTGCTTTCTGACACATACATGGATTTTGGAAAATTTTTATTCTTCCTCTTTGTTTTTTGTGTGTGAAAATCTGAGAATGAAAATAGGGGTCCAAGTCTATTCTAGGTTTGTATTTGACCTGGTGTGGCAGGTTGGCTGTATCTGGCTGCCTGATGCCCACTCAGCCCACTTATAGTCTCCTCCTCAGCAAGACGGGGAAGAAAAGAGGAGGAAGAAGCTCAGGGGTGGACAAAAGGATGGGAGATGGCTCACCAATCCCCATCATGGGCAAAAATGTTTCCACTTGGGGAATATTAATTAAAGTGGATTGGGATGGTGAGAAACAAACACAAAATTAAGGCAACACCTTCCCCAGTGTAAAAGTGTTATCAGTGTGCACCAGTGTCCACCAGGATGGATACCTGCCCTGCTGCAGGAGAGCCCAGCTTGGGGCAGTTCCCACTTTTCTTCACAGAGACCCTTCAGTCCCATTGCTGCCTCTGGGCACAGACACCCCGAAAGACCTGAGAGAGCCAGAGTGGCAAGAGGGAACAAATGTTGGGGTGGAGGGAGAGGACAACCCCGAATAGGCTGCATAGATGCCCCAGGACCTGGCCAGGGCTGACCTTGCTGGATTTCTGATCCCACTTTAAAATGTTTAATGACAAGAACCTGTAAAGCTGAAGAAGCCAGAATTTTGCTCAGAGGTGTTGTCTGCATCTTCCTCCAGCCTCTGTTGAGACAGCTTTGGACTTTGGCCAAAAAAAAAAAAAAGGTATCTCCAGATCATCACAGCTCAAAATCTGCAGTTGCTCCTAGATGATGCTTAGCTGCAAGTCCAGCATCTGTGACTGTCTTCCTGTACTGAGTTTTAATGTGAATATTTTGGGTTTTTTCAAGGCTTTGTGGGTTCTTTTAATTAGAACAACAAACTGTAGCAGGACTCAGGTGTTTCACCACACAGCACTTGCTTGCTAAGCTCTCCTTCCCTGAGTGCAGCAGGAATCCCACGGCACTGCTGCATCTAGGAGCTATGCAAGGGACAGTGCTTTGCCAACATGTTCCCCATTCCCACCATTCTTCCAGGTCCCACTTGTGGTCCACAACCTGTATGTTCCCTGTTTCCCCTCTCTTGGGGTGATGGCAACAGTGAGTCTGTGTCTGCTGTATCCCAGCCACTGGATGGGTTTTTAAGAGAGCACCTGTCTGTGGGGAGTGTGGCTTTCAAAGGCATCTTGAGGCTGGGGAAAGAGATGTGAAAACCTACAATTGTGCCTCTTTTCTTGTTGACAGCCCCCTGTGTTGACCATGTGACGTGGCAAGAGGTGCTCCTGCTATGGCCACGCAGGAGGAGCCGAATGCCCTGGATGTTCCTGGCTCCTGCTGCTCCCCGTTGTGCAAAGTAAGTACCTGCTTCTCACCCCTCCTGGGCTGAAGGGTGGAGGTCCTTCACTTACTGGGGAGAGCCCCATGTTGTGAGGGTGTTAACCTGGCTTGGCAGGAGGGTCTCTTGCGCTGGGCATTGCTGGAAAAGGTGCACAAACCCAAAGCCTCTTCAGTTAATGCTGGCACCCCGTGGGTTTGGGGCTTGTGATGTA